CAGTTGACAGCATTTTACAAAATGGCCGCCCTCCTGAAATGGCTCAAAACAGTTAGATTTTGCCGCTCAACTCATACTCCACATACGCCAACATTAATCAGAATTCTGTGTTTAGACGAGTGGGCCTGCAGAGAACATACAATTATTGTGAAGAACATTTTGGCCTTGACTTCCATTTTAATAGCTGTTGTGTTCTGTTTAGCATTTTTGTTGCACCGTCATACAGTATATCTTCGCCAAATATTTCTATATTGTTTTCGAATATATTTGTGTTGTATATGGTAAACTTGATATTGTTTCATTCCAGGATATTGTAATTTTCATTTAGCATCTCATTAAAAATGGCATTACGATTACAGAATGTCTCCTTTAAGCGCACTGGATGCAGCGTTGTGCTCCAAAGCATGTGCGCCGCAGTTTGTTTTTAGGGGAATCAGCAAATCTGTATGTGTTTTCTCCAGTGTGGCGCATCGGAGACCATGTCCGCTTCTCAAGTCTGTTTGAAGGCGAGACACGGCGCCGCTTCTGCTTAATTAGTACCCGGCAACTCTGTGTTCCTTCTTCTCGGGCGAGGACTCTATATACGGCGGGAGAACACTTGAGAGTATTCATGGCGCAAGAAAGAGAATTTTTCAATAACATTGTGCACTATTTTTTTAATTTGAGTTTTTAAAATATTATATTAGCGTTTTTTTTTTTTGTTTTTTTTTTTGAGACAATAAGTGCAGGCTATCATCCCACAACATTGCAGCAGGACAATGATCATTTGGTGCCTTTTTGTGGTTAAGTGAGCGCTTCTTTCAGTGAAAAGAATACAACACAACCGCCCGAAAAAGCTTTGCCTCGCCATCTGAAATGGAATTTTCCGCTGAATGTAGACCATTAGCCCTTTCATATAACACAACTCGTGGTCATTTTGATTTGAGAAGAGAAAAGTTAAACCAAGGGGTCTGCAACCTTTGCCTCTTTGCCACCGGGGACTCTTTCATCCATCTGTTGTGGCTCACTGGGAAAAATACTCCCAATAATTTAAACATTAAAAATCACTTTGTTTGCTTTTCAAATGTAATTTTAAATAAGAAAATTGTTCAAAATATGCAGCAAAAGCGTAGTTGTTTGACACTTGGTGCCAAGATCTGTTGATATGTATATATATCTATATATATATAGATATATATAGATATATATATCTTTTTTTAATTGTTATTATTTTTCGTAGTCAAGATGCCAGCTGACTGAAGGCTCCACACGTGATAAAAATGTTGACCGAAAACAGAATACGGTTTGCTGCAGGTGGATAATTTAAGTCCGTGTTTATTTTCATGACGCCCAGCAGGACTCGAATCAACAGTGACTTATTTGAAAATAAGCTTCCACCAAGTGTTGTTGTCTCAATCCTGTTTTGCTGCTGCCCTATTTTTTTTTTTTCGCTTCTCTTCCTGTTACACTTTACGTGGAGAGTGTCGGTGGGCGGAGTCTCCCGCGCCACACCTGATGCAATTGTCATCAGCAGGCTGTTTTGACACAGGAGAGATGTCAGCAAAGTGCTGAGTTATTGTTCCTTGCTTATCACCGTTGCTCCAGTATTTTGCTCCTCTCATGCGTGTTCCACATCCATCTTTTTTTCTGACAGTAGCTACTTTCCTCTTTGCTTGTCAGTATCGCTGTGAATTTGTTAACCGTTTACTGGCTTGTGTAGGTTTTCGGTTGAGTGATTTTTGATTCGTGGCTCTCTGCCTTCCTCCTTTTGTCTTATTTGGTTGCAAGCTTAATTCACGTCAACTGTTTGTCACGTCATTTTTGGTTATTTATACTTCCCTCATGCATGTGTGCTCTTTTTGTTTGAACTATTCAACGTTCTCAGGCAAGTTTAAAGATGCTTTCATTCCACGCAGAAATAAAATGTTGTGTTCCCTGTCACATTCATTTCATAAATGCAACACAGTATAGGTTTTTACATACATACAGTATATACACAGTGTGATAAGCAGTATTAGCCTCACTTTAAATGTCAGAAGCATTTTTGGAGGGGTAAGGGGAGGTACTGCCAAAATTGCCCTTTGGGTCTTAAAGGTTGCTGACTCCTGAGTTAAATGTTACCATATGCATTTTATTAAGTTGGACCAAAACTATCTCAGATGGAAAAATCTCATTTTGTCAAGGGGACCAGTGAGTGAATTTAAACGTTTAAAAAAAACTAATTACTATTAGTGGAGATTTCCTGATAACCACGAGAGGCAACGTCTGCTGTGTCAAGTGGACAAGGCAAGAAATGAGGATGCAGCCATAAAGTAGCATAGATGAATCAAAGTTTTACAGGATCTCAGTTTTGAAAGTGCACGGTTGTATTTTCATGCTTCATTGTGTTCTGTGTAAAAGGCAGACATCAGTGTAAATCTTGATTTATGTCGCAGGTGCTTCAATTTTGTGATATCGTTTTATGAAATTCTGAAACTGTGTTCTGATTTGTCCTATATACAATTGGGCTCTGCGTCAAACTTGCAGGATCTCTGGGGGAAAAAAATGGCAGTTCATTTCCTTTTTAGGAGACATTTTATGCTTTGAAAGTCTTATTTCTAAATACCACGGTACTGTATGCCACATGCGACCTTGACGTGGGGGGAAAAGTTAACCATTCACGGGTTGTTTGCTCCCGCCTGATGCGTGAAAGCGGAGCGTAATGGAAGGCATAAAATAATAAAGTCAACAATAAAGTCAAACATGCAGAGTGGATACTTGGCTCGTCCTTTCTCTTGCTCCGTCTCTTTTTGTCTCACTCATTCCCTCCCTCTCTCTTCCAATTCTGTCATATTTTTTCACCTTTTTATCCGCACGACTTTTATTAGCTGTCGAGTGGAAGGCTGGAAATAAATGACGGCGCCGTGCTTAAATCGCGTTACAGTCCATAGACAATGGCGGCGCACTGTAATGGCGTTTAATCTGATGCCAGTCTTTGATCATAATCTGGCTCACGTCACGCTTCCTTCTCAATCTTGCATCGTAATCCTCAAATTCCTACTTAAAGACGCAAAATGTTAACCACATGCGTACAACTACCCAGCTTCATTTTTAATTACAGCGGAAACTCTAACTTTACCCAACGGGGTTATTAATTGTTGTTAGTATTGTTTTTAGCATCGGCATTCCAATTCCACTCGTGCCTGGAAATGATATTTGTGGGTCTTCTCCACAGTGTGATGAAAATTGTCGTTTTTAAGCATTATTTTTAGCATTAGCCTTACCATTCAGAAATCATCAAGATCAACAACTACTATACTGTAGTGGTCAAAAGATATTGAGTCTTCTCTGTTTGAAAGGCATCACATTGTGTTGAGCATGATCCTTTTTGAGTCTACCAATGTCTGAAAAATCAACTTGGACCCTACAAATCATATTGTGGTTCTTAAAGCCAAATTTATTTGTTCAAAATGTGACATTTGTTGACTTTTTTCCCCATTATTATTACCAATAGGTAAAGCCTCTGATACTGTAGAAATCTTATTCTAAAGGCTGTTGCTACATTCACACAACACATCCTGAGACCCATTGTGAAAGAAACTTGTCACTTTGTTGCTAGCGTTGTATGTAGCATTAGCATTCAGTATCCATGTCCTCTTGTAGACAAATAACACTACGAAGCATGTTGCTTTATGAGTCTTCACCACCGTTTCAGGCAAATGATAAAGGAAATGCATTGCTTTCTTGTTAGCATTGTTCTTAGCATTAGCATACCAAGTCCACTAGCGGTCAGAATGTCTTCTATTGTACAAATCCTATTTATGAAGGATGTTACAACAAGAACCTGTCTCTCAGAGCCTTCTCACAGTTGAAGGTCAATTCCTTTGTTTTTAGCATCAACATACAGAGTCCACTAATGACTGAAATGTCTTGGTTGACTGTACAAATCCGTTCGAATATTGTTGCCACAGTTGAAGCAACATTTCATGCTGTTAGCACCGTTTTAAGCAGTAGGATTACCAATGACTTGAAGTTTCTCCATTGTACACATTATTATGAATGCATATCTCTTTCTTGGAGTCTTGCCCTTTTGTTAGCATTGTTTTAGCAGTAGTGTAGCCTGCCCGAATAACTGTAAAAAATTTATCATCACTGATTTTGCTTTGAACCTTTGCCACCTTCTAAGACAAATTTTATATCATACAAATACAACCCCCGCCCCCCCCAAACAAAAAAAACAATTCTTTGAGTTTTGGCAAATGTCTGAACAACATATGAAGAAAATGTGTCAAGTTGTTTTAACATTAGCTTTCTTGTCAACTCTGTCGCTATCAAATTATGTTGCATTTTCCCCCCCTTTTAGACTGCTTCTCTAATGATATCATGATGTAGAAAATACAGCTGTAATTATTGAATCGCTCCCTTTATGTCCGTGATGCCTAATTTGGTGCACCCTGTATAGTGTTTGTGTGTGTGTGTGTGTGTGTGTGTGTGTGTGTGTGTGTGTGTGTGTGTGTGTGTGTGTGTGTGTGTGTGTGTGTGTGTGTGTGTGTGCACGGGCGCGCGCACACTGTAATCACACTTGACTGCATGCAGCTTCTGCAGGTGTCAATAGAAAGCAGCCAGTGGGAGGGACTCTGACGCCCCCAACTTCTCATTCGATGCCTTGCTCCCTTCTCTTTCTCTCTCTCTCTCTCTCTCTCTCTCTCTCTCTCTCTCTCTCTCTCTGTCTGTCTCTCTCGCTCCCCCTCTCGCTCCCTCTCATCCCTCCATCCATTCAGTCCTGCTCCAGCATCACGCTGAGGAGAGAGCAGCATCGGAGAGTCCGGGGAGGGGAGCCACCATGCACGTTTGCCTGGAGATTTCTTCCACTTGACTACCGTGGTTTTTTTTTGAAATTTTTTATTTGCCTTTCCCCTCCTCTTTGTGTGTGTGGGGGTGTGTGTGTGTGTGTATGTGTGTGTGCGTGTATACGTGTGTGTGAGGCTGTGGATTAGTGTGTGTGCGTGTGTGTGTGCATATATATAAATATAGATATATATATGTATATACATATACATATATATATGTATATATAAATATATATGTATATTGATGTATATATGTGTGAGGAGGCAAGGACACACTGCACAGAGCATCCTCTGTTCTCTTAAGGAAGGACACCAGGACCTCCTCTTCCTCCTTTTCTTCTTCTTATTGTGTTTTCCATCTTTCCTTGGAGACATGGATCTATGCCTGGACCCGCCGCGGATTTGCCGGGGCTGGCGGCTTTTCCCCATCCTCCTGCTCCTCACCCTCCTCTTTCGGGACCACCTGAGCTCCATGCTGGACTGCCCGCCGACGTGCAGCTGCTCGCCCACCGAGATCTATTGCAATAAGTCGGACAGCGGCCGCTTCTTCCCGCTGTTGGCGGTGCAGGATGGAGCCGGAGCCAATGGCAGCGGAGCTGTGGACATAGCTGACTTGTTCAAAAACATGTGATCCATGTGAGTGGCTCTCTGTGTGTGTGCGCGCGCGCGTGTGTGTGTGTGTGTGACTTGCACCAGCTCACTTTTTTTTTTTTTTTTGCATGAGTATGTGCGGGGTGGTTGGGGGCTGAGTGGTTGTGGTGGTGGGGAGGTGCATCCTGAAAGTTGCACCCCCGCAGGCCTCTTCATCAGCATCCTCCTCATCCTCTTTTTCATGAGGAGGAGGAGGGAGGATGTTGCGTCCGCGTCCAACTGCTCCGACAGATTGCGCCAAATGGAACAGAAATAAATGGCGCAGTGAGGTCAAACAGTTACGTATCACTACTCTCCACCACATTCCTCAGGGAGACGACCTGCCCCCTCTTCCCCCTCCCCCCCCCCCCCCCATTTATTAACTTGCGACAGATGTGTATAGTTACAGTGGTGCAAAGAAAATAACACTTGTAGTGTGATGTCGTGTGTGGAAGCTGTGCACAAATGTGCTGGATGCAGCTTCTTTTCGTTCAAGAAAGAAACCATCTCTCACCAGTCGTGTTTTGCTTCTTGAAAAGTCTGTTGCGTTTTGTGTGTCTCAATACTTGTTACGTAGGTAATAATTAATATTTGCTGTGATGTGTGGTCCTGGAAGCTGAGGAAAAAAATGTGCTGGATGCAGATGTGCTTTTGCGTTGAAGGTCTTAGCTTCACCTCACAAGTCTTAAAATGCATTTATCATGGTAGTCCAGAAAAAAAGGCATTTTGCGTGTCTATTGTCATTTGTATTCCTGTGCTGGATGGAGTTTTTTTTTTTTTCAACCAAAGCCATACTTGAAAGGCCTCCAAGTAATATAAACTCCTCACAACAGTTCGGAAAAATTAATTTTCTGTGTCGTATTTTTGTGTGGCCACACATGTTCTGGATGCATTCGAGATGAAAGCCTTGCCTCAGGATTTGGCAAAAATCAGAGTTTCGTTTTTTTAACTCCCCCACCTCCCAAAATGCATTTTATATAGCATACAATCTGTGCTGTTCTGCCCGACGGAACTTTTTTTTGTTGATCAAAGCATCTGTTACAAGACTTCAAAGTGGAGTAAAAAAAAAAAAACTCACACCTTCTAAAGTCAACCAGTGGGTTAATGCTTGATGATTTGGTGCTGGATGCATATTTTTTTTATGCTTCAATGAAATCAGACCCACACAGGCTTTCATGTACATAATCCCTGAAGGCCCAAGTCAAACCTTTCTTTCTTGAGAATTAAGACGTGTGTGCGGCAGTACGCAGCTTCAGAAACCAGGAGCGGCGTGGGCATCGGGAATTTAGGGAAAATATGTTAATTGTCTCGACCGGTGTATTTATGTGCCGCTCCGGGACATCATGGCCAGCAGCCCAACGTCCTTTTTTTTTTTTCTTTAGGGCGGGCACGCTTCTGCCGCACCTTGACTACGTTCCAGCGCACGACTGCTGGTCAATGCTAACTTTTCAACACATGATAGCTGTGTAATTCGAATTTTTACAAGTGGGAGACAATGGGTGACACTCTGCCCATTCCAAAATAAAATGCTTCATTTATCATACGCCATATTTGGGGCGCCAGCATGGCACGAAATATTAAAGATTTGAAACCTAAAGCAAAGCGTTAGAGGAGCTGAAAAGCTTAATCAGCATTGTGACAACTCTTACAGTGGTTTGTATCGCCTTTTTGTTCAAAATCAAGCCTCGTGTTGATGTGTGGCGTTGTCGCGTGTGGAAGCCAGACTCAAATGTGCTGGATTCAGCTTTAAGATCAACGCTATCTTCTCAAAAGTTGAATGAAGCTTTCTTTCTTTCAAAGAAGAAAATGCATTTTATGTGGCTCAACTGTGGTGTTGTGCGTAGAAGCTGTGCGCAAATGTGCCGAATGGAGCTTTTTTTTTTTTTTGTGATTCAGAGCAAAGCCAACCCTCACAAGACTAAAACTACATCATCCAGGAGGACAAAATCAAAGCGTTGCTTCTTGAAAAGTCCAGAAATATGCATTTTGTGCATCATTGCCTGGAAAGCTGTGTGCAAATGTACTTGTTGCAGCTTTTTGTTTTCTTCCCGATCAAAACCATATCTCACGAGTCTTCATGTACATCCTCCACATCAAAACATAAAAAATGCATATGTGTGGCTCAAAGCTTGTGGAGTTGTCGCAATGTGCAAATGTGCCATCCATCCATCTGTCCATTTTCTAACTTTTTGGGTCATAGAGCCAAGCGATTCTTCACAAGCCTTCAAGTTCATCATCAGAGCTTTTCTTCTTTAAAAGACCAGAAAAATGCATTTTCGATCATTGAACTCTTGTGCTCAGTGAAGCTTTTTTGGTGATTTCGCCTTACTGGAAGGAGGTACATTCTCCTCTGCACGACAGAATGACTTGTTCAGTATTAACACGGAAGACTTTACGAGCTCTTCTTCAAAAAAATGGAACGGATGGAAGCACGCAGCGTGCGAATGCCCTGGAGGCTGCCTCATTTGCATATAAAGTCGCTCCGGAAGGAATTCCCACGCATATAACCAATCCCCAGCCCCGCCTCTTGATCACCTCGCATCACTTTTGGGCTCCCGTTTAACCTTTTTATTCAATAACTCCGTTGCTGTGCGCCACTAGAGGGTACCCTGCACCTGCATCCTCTCCCTCATCCCCTTCCTCCCGCCCTCTCAATCTTTCCGAACTGCATTAAAAGGCAAAAGAGAATGGCGGGGACATGAAGGTACCCTCGGTGGTGATTACCGTAACCCCCCCCCCCCCCTCCCCGTGCAGCGCGTCATGAATTATTTATGTTGTAACCTGTTGGCATCATTTATCTCCCCTCTTGTCCACCCCGATTCGGATGGGCTGCCCGCTTGATTGGTTTCCCCTTAAAAACAACAACAACAAGTTTAAAGGGAAAAAGTCATGGTCTCATTAGCATTTTTTTTCCTGCCTTTTTTTTTAGTATAGAGCTACTAATCCGATTGACCCGCCAGACGCCTTTCATGGCTCCGCTCCGGCAGCCGTCTTGTAGTTTTTCTGCTCCCCCTGCAGCAAAAGGCTGAAAAACAAACGCACCGGCGTCGTTGAAACGTGGCTGATCGTTTCTGATGGCTTACTTTAAGCATAAAGTGCCTCCTATGAATGTAAAACGCACAATAAATACGGATTTGGAGTTGAAGAAAGTTTAATTTGATGATTCTTGTGGTCACTCAAGGCTGTGTGACCGGCATACCGCGCGATTAATTAATTCAGGCTGAATACTAAAGAGGAAACCAGCAGTTTGGTGCAAAAGTGCGGCTAGTGGGGAAATTAAACCTCCACTACTCCCATGGTAAAAGGACCCAACTGTGAGTATGCTCCACCCCCGCCCCTCTTAAAAAAACATAATAGTCTTAAAGCAGCAGTACTTAATTTTTTTCCCCCTTGAAGTCATTTTTATCCATGCTACTGTAAGCTTTTGTTAAATTGTTATTATCATTTTATGTTTGAACATTACAGTATTGTCTTTGATGTTAAAGTTACCTAAATTATATTCTATTTAGTAATTTCTTAAACAGGTTTATGTTGAGAGCGTCTGATTGGCTGAAGGAAACAGGAAGTGTTTTAGTAGCCGGAAGAAGGAGTTGTGTTCTCGAACGTGCTGCGGTGCAGACGTCTTTTTCCCCCCATTTCAATAAAACTGCATTCAAAGAATTCCATCTCTCCTTTTGCCGTTTGCAAAGTAGAGCCATCCATTCGGAAACAACGAACCCATCAGCTTACGCTACGAATTGAGCAGAAACAATGCTGATAAACGCAACTTTATTTATATCGCGCTTCTCATCAGCTGCAGCTATAACATGCACTTGTTGGGTTTTTTTTTTAACATTCTTTATGATCGCACAAGCAAACCGATGTTAACTGCTGTAAATAAGAAAATGCATAAACGATAAAGTATAATCATGCAGTGTGTGGCGGAGAGTCTACTACTTGACGGACTGTAAGTTCCTATCTACTTCTTGGTTTGGACTAATTGTTGAGGAAAAAGCTAAAGAGAAAGCTAAACATACACTTTGAGGTGTTTTGCAATTTTAGGAGTAATTTGCCTCATTATTTGGGTCCCGCTTGTCCAAATTGTACAACATCGCTCAAAAATAAGCTTGATTAGCATATCTGTCGTCTTCAAATTCATGATTAATACAAAATAGATTCAGTCAAGGACACATTTCTTCACTCGGTCTTATTTAAAACCGAGCAACCAGCCAGAAGAAAAGCGGCACGGCTGGCATCTGTATGCGCCCCGCGGTACGACACGTCCTCGGCCCTCTCTGCGACGATGGCAGCGTTGTCGCCAAAAGGCCGCCTAAAAAGAACAAGTGGTGAGTTGAGATAATAGTTTGTTCTTCGCTTGGCGGGCAGGGAGGCATGGGCCCGTTTTTGAAGTGGAGGAGATAGGGCCCGGCTGTCACACTTGAAGATAAAGAAGCGCAATTTTCAGTCAGAAGCTGATGTGTCAGACAGGTTGCGGCTAAGTGTTGTTTCTTTGTGCCTTCTAATTAACACTTCTCCACTTCTGATGTCGGAGCAGGTGGTAATCCAGGGGAAGGGCGGGGGGGCGGGGCTATTTTCAGTGTATTAACAATGTGGCTCACATCTTCACCACAGGTATAAAAACAAAAATACACCAGATGAGGCTAAAGATATCAGAATCCTTTTGATAGGACGAGTGCGTAAAAACACACAAGGAATTTGTCTCTGGTAGTATGTGAAGGGAGAGGTACCGATCATTTTTTTTTTCACAGTGGCCCTAACGTTCCGTTACAGTTAGATGGTGTGAATTTGTCATGAGTTTTCCCATGATGCTCATTCTACTTGGTGACATGAAATTCAGCATGACGATAATGTCTCAAAACACGTAGCAGGAAGTCAGCCATTTTGAATCGCAGCAGCCATTTTGAAGTAATAGCTGCCCATTTCTGCTGCAGAATAGTTTTCCTTCTCCTCGGCCGATGATTTGATCAGTTTGAAATACGATTTTATTGATTTATTATTTTTAAGTC